CGCCGCGTCCCGCCCCGGGAGGCATGTGGTCCGTGCTGTGGGCGGCCGTGCGCTCCAAGGCCCCCTACGTCACCTTCCCGGTGGCCTTCGTGGTAGGGCTGGTGGGCTCCCAGCTGGAGTGGTTCCTGCGCGGAGACCCCCCGCCCACCGCCCAGGAGGAGAAGAGCATCTCGGAGCAGCGGGAGGACCGCAAGCTGCAGGAGATCGTGGGCGAGGACCTGACCAAGGTGGTGAGCCTGAAGGACAAGCTGGAGTTCGCCCCTCGGGCCGTGCTCAACAGGAACCGCCCCGAAAAGAGTTAATAAAGGGTGGTTTGGACAAAGGCGGTGCCCTAGAGCGGCTGCTGGGGACTACCCTGGCACATGTACTGCTTCCACCTGCCTCCCTCCTGTACCTGCTGCTCCTCACCCTCACGGGCACTCTGAGAGTCAGGTTTGCCCAGCCCATGGATTTGCTGAAGGTACCCAGAGCTCGGTGACAGAGCGGGCCAGGAGCCGTGCATGGAGTTGGAGCGAGTCTGAAACTCCTCAGCTCACACCAGGCCTGGCTCCTGAACCACAAAATACTCTCAGCCTGGTTCCATCTGTGTCTCCTCAGGTTTGATTTCTTCCATGCTGTGAAGGTAGAAGAATGGGTTGGATTCAGGCTGACCACCAGTGAAAGGAAGAACTGCTGCCCTACTTCCAGATCCCCTGTGGCTCTTGATGAACCCCAATACACCAGCAGTCATGGGGCTCTCTGGGGACCCCCTCCCTCCATCATCCCTCCCAGAAATGGTGACAGGGGCGATGAAAGTCTTCGTTCTCCACTGTCATGCTCTGAGCACGGTGATGTGTTGGGAATGAAGGGATCTCTGCCCTCTGCACAATAAACTTCTGTCAATCCTTGGGCCTCCGTGTCTTCTGCATCAGCACAGCCCGAGCCCTGTTTCTGAGCATGTCTCTGCTCCCTCCATGTTCAAGAAACAACTGCTGCAGTGGGACAAATACTATTGCTATCCCTGGCTGGGCACTGGCCTCCAGGCCTGGCAGCAGGGTGGTGGGCAGGAAGGAGGAGGAGGCACAAAATTCCCAGCCCATGATGTGGCTGTGCCTCCCTCCCAGCTCCCCCAGCTGTGTCATCTGCTTCCCTTTGACCTCTTTATCTTGAGGAGAAGGGCTGTGACGACATAGGGTGGGATCCTGGGGCTCACGGGTCCCACTGGGGTGCTGAGCAGGGAGAGGCTGGCAGCAGGCTCTGGGGGCTGGTGGCCAGTGTCCCCTCTAGACTCAGCAGGGACAAACCCCAGCCAGAGCTGCCTGAGCAGGGCCAGGGCTGGGGTTATTGCTGCCTCCCCGCTTGTTTTTTCCCGTGGTGCCTGAGCAAGGCCCTGGTTCTGCCCTGGCCCGGCCTTCCCCTCTTGGGGACGATAAATCTGCCGTGCCTGGTGGAAGGGCTGAGGTCAGGAGCCAGTCAGCGTTCACACTGTGCTGTCCTGCACCCCGGCCAGGGCCATTCCTGCCCTGCTGACAGCTTTACTGCTGTGCTCCTGGCTCTGTTTGCCTCCCGAGCTGCTGTCCTGGGCTGTACTGCTGCTCTCAGTTGTGCTCATGGCCCGGCACCGCTGGCACTCTGACCTTTGCTGCGAGGGCAGCTGAGTCTCGGGAAGAAGGTGCAGGGGGAGCCTGGGAGTGATTTAGAGCCTGTCCCGGCCTTGTGAGATCTTCACCACCTGCTGCACTCACAGTGCAACACCACGTTGTCCCCCTGGCAGGCTGGCACTGTCCCTTGAAGTAGCCCCTTCGCCTTTGTCTCCTGGTTTCCCAGACAGGCTGTGGGGTGATGGCTGTTCCCTATTGTGTGCTGTGATGGGAATGGTCCCGTTCCTTCTCCCAGCTGGGACCAGCTCGGAAACTGTCTTTGAAATGCCTTTGTTCACCCCGCGACGAAGCGGCTCCCCCGTCTGTTTACAGCCCATTGATCCCCTCATTCCCAGGGCCAGCCGGCCACAATCGGGCTTTGGCGGGGGGGGGGCTCGCTGCCCCATTTCCTGCCCCGGGGCCATGCAGTGTCGCTCGGGAGGCTGCTCTAGCACAGGAGTGATGCCTTGGGGAAGGACTGAGACAGATGATGACAGCTTGGGCATTGATGGCACCTGACTGGAAGCCCCTGCCCTGCTCCTATCCCCTGCCTGCGGTACTTCCAGCTGTTTTCCCTGTGTCCGGGGGCTCCCGTCCGTCCGCCGGCATTGCTGCAGGTCTGTGGATTCCCGCAGGCGCTGGGACAGGGGTGAAGCCGCTTCCCAGACCTGTCGCCTTTCTCCTAAGCCTTCATTGCT